TTATGATTTCTTTATCAAAAGTGATACAACTATTTTAAAAAAGAAAATTATTATAAAGCTTTTTTTTTTTGTTATCAGAACGATGTGTTATTTGTGCTTTAAGTATGTTCAATCAAACTCTATGGTAGTATATACTGATACTTGGAAAAAGTAACAGTTCGGGGATAGAGAAAAGAGTTTAAAAAGTTTGAATGGATAACTATGATATTTAAATTAGAGTAAACTATACACCTTCAATTACGTTCTTGATCATGACTGAATATAAGTTAAAGATGAATAAAATTTATATTTTCGAGATTAATGTATGGTAGCTAGTATTGGAATAGAGGACGACAGTTTCGTCCTCGTTAGAATACTTCAACTGAATGTAATATATACCATATGCCTAAAAGTGACTGATTTATTTGCACTCCTAAATATAAATTGTAAGATTCCAAGAATCAATACAAATGAATTATACTTATATTTCGTTTTAGATTTTTAGTAATGACCAAGCCATGCTGGTAATGTTGTCTCAAATAACACAAAATGAACAAACATCTTTCGAGGTTATTTCGAATTATTTTTCTAGTTCATTATAACCGATACTTTTTCATGGTTCCAGTATGAGTTATTCACTGAAATGTTGGTCAGTCTCTTGTTGACGTATGTGTATGTTGTTAAGATAGCCTCGATATTACCCCAAATCAAGCAATCCGCACAGGATGCACATATGCCAATAAGAGACTAATGAATTGTAATCCCAAACACCAATGACAAGATTCAACCAAACAATATCAATTGAATTTAAACTTCATCCCATTTCACAAGCGAGTAGCTATAAGGACTCAGTAGCGATGTAGATAACGTGATGGTGTTTGAAGTGAATGCTACTGGATTCGTATTCTGGAATGAACATGAATTCTATGACGCAGGTATGTCCATCTGACGAATCTCAACTGGGACGAAACATACATTCTGGATTCTACTCCTAGCCACCATCTATCGACTTTATCTTAAATTTTTCATCATACAAGCTTGGTTCATAAACAAACAAATGAAATCACTGCCAGATCTCGAATATTATAATTCTCCTTTAATCTTACATCCATTTTTCTTTGTTAGTATTATCCTAACCAGTTTTTAATGTGTTCAACCTTTGTACCATTAGGGAATTGACATTAAGAACAATGAAATCAAATCAATTAAGACAATTTAATACAAAAAAGTATTTTTCTTTTCCATAGTTTCATTAATGTTTCTTTTTCTTGAAATATGAGAACAGAAAAATCAGAGTGGTTTTTTATACTTAGTGAACATGAGAAGTTTTTTTTGTAATACGTGAGGTCAAAAATAAATAAAAAAATATTTTTTGAAGTAAAGACGGGAAAAAAATAATCGTAGTTGAAAGCATTATTTAATTGAAGCTAAACCTGGAAGCACTGAACGGCACTGAACGACCGTTTCGTCCTATTGTGGGACTCCTCAACAGTGAATATCCACGACCTTTCCTCGCGAGGTTCGAACCCATGCTCACTAACAACTGACTTGAAGAGGTAATCATTGGAGTTTTAGTGAGAAGCAGTAACTAGTGGAGTTCAACCAGGTCTGTTGTGAGATATCAAATCACTGAAGACAATGGGTGAACAGTTGGTCAATTTCGTGGATTGTTTGAAGTTAGACACAAACACCATCGGATGCCGGCTTAGTGGTCTATCGATTGAGTGCTCGCGCGAGACTGGTAGGTCCTGTATTCGAATCTCGCGAGGCAGGATAGTGGAGTCCTACAATAGGATGAAACGGCCGTTTAGTGCTACCAGATTTTCCATATTGGTCTAGCTTCAATTTACTCATGCTTTCAACTGTGAAAATACTAAATCTCCACAAAACTCCTTCTGAAAAATTCATCAATCTACTCAATGAAAATAATTTCTGTAAGGTAGTTAGTGATACTCCTAGCAACTGAGTAATTGTGACAAGAAAAATAATTTCGGTGTATTTTGCTGTTAAATAAAGTTTTTTTTTCATAAAAATTAGTCACTATGATTATTATCCCGAAAATCTTGTATTTCTTAACTTGAATCTTATGATAGAGATGATTTATGAGTTCCTCGACTTTTCATAATTGACGTATAAATATAATAGACTTAACGTTTTCAAAAAAGAAACAGCAATCTGAAAAGCTTCCAATCTACAACTTATCCTATGAAACATGAGTCTGATAAAAGTATATCTTATATAACACTGTCTAAGAAATCAAAAACAGAGAATAGAATGATCATAAATGATAAGACACTACATTAGCCTATCAAATGATAACAGAGTGTCGGATGCAATATACAATATTTAAGATGGGGATCCCGGTGAAGTTACTTAACTAACTAACTTATCATATGACTAAATCAATGCATTATGTCATTAAGTAAAGGGAAAAGATAATTCAGTGCTAAAGATTCTTATCTTGATGATATTGTAGTGTGAGTTACTTATATCAACATAAGTAGTATTAGTAGAGGATCAAGTCAAAAGATCATAGAATGATTTTTGTTCAGTATCATTTTTATATTCATTTCATATAGTAACTGTCCAGTTTAACATTCATCTTCATTCAATTTGATTCTATTTCAGTACATTATTCGACGTTTACAATATGACATTTATTCAGTATATCACTATGTGTACTAGTGAAATGTCGCATTCATTTAAATACAAAGTGTTATATGAGTTCTGTTGTAATTCTTTGTGATTTCTACTTCCGTTTTTTTCGTATTTTAGTCTGTAGATTTATTACCGAACATGATTCAAATAGTCATATTGTAGTGAACAAGAACATAAGTAGAGATAATCAAATGTATTCTAACCCCTTACAGAATATCTTATTGAAACCTGTGAACCATACAATGAATACTTCAATTGCATAGTGTCAGTCAATTGTCTCAAATTTGACTGTTCTTTTTTTCAAATATTAGTCAATTGTCTCAGACTTCATTGTTCTTGCATTTTCATGCCAATTGCTTTCTGTTTCCATTCTTTTCTCTTTGATCTTTTAGACATTTCGCTTCCAAACATTCTATTCCTGTGAAGCGTTATATACTACTTATATTGATATAAGTAGCACACACCAGAATATGAATGCATATATTTAATTAAAATAACTGTCATTTTTTATGAAGAAGGAAAGGACAACTTTGTTTGCCTTCAGTGCTTTATCTTCTTCCTTGTGTTTTGTGAATCTTACTTTTTCACCATTTACTAAGAGCCATTATCATCAAATTATATCAGTTATTTTCTTTAACGTTTTATAACTTGATCGGGAAAAGTTTATGATTACTGACAAGGGATTTGTTGGATTCTATAAAGTTTCTACATTTGTTCTGTTGTTCATACTTACTATTTCTTCTTAGTACAGACATGCAAATGAATCAGTTATGTTCACTATTTGTTGTTTTCATTGAATGTTTCAAATGGATTGAAATTCCAATTAAAGCTATGGCTAGCAGTTAAATGTAGGACTAGTGTTTTGTCCTGTTTCAGACCCCCTGGGCGGAAATACTTGACCTATAGTAACAGTGTATACACTGAGACTTGAGCCTAGTACCTGTCACCTAAAATCCTATTGTGTTGTCCACTGAGCAAGTGAATTCAAATAGCAACAATCTTGTCTCATGAGCATCAACGTTGTTTGAATGCGTTCATGTATTTCTATTGTTGTTGTTACGAACTGCAATCGATCAGACATTTTTGTCATATTTTACATTCTATGTGGACTCTCTCGATATTCATATCTATTTTTAATCGCAGTTGAGATTCAGGTACACTCATCTGACAAGTCTCAAATGGGACAAAACGCGCTTCCTGTATCCTAATTCTAGTCACTATTCTAACTGTACTTAAAAACTTATGACTAAATAATAATATCCAGGCAACTTGGACGGGATAGATTTATGTTAAAAGCAATTTGTTCATTGCAGTTCATAACATCAACAACTGAAAGATACTAACACTCATAAAATGAATAAAAGTTAATTGCTGATATTATCACTGAAGTATATCTGCTTCATTCACTATGTTAAAATGTTTGATCTATCTACTAATCACGTTTAATAATACTCTGGTAGACCATTATGAAAAAGATAAGTATGTAAACATAATAATTATAAGATAACAATACATTCTGTCATCAATCATTTCATAAACATTATTTGTTTTTTATGTATGGCTGAAATCATGAATCAAGTGAAGCTAGACAACCATGAAAAACCTCGAAGCACTGGACCGCCTTTTTGTACTATTCTAAGACTCCTCAGCAGTGCCCATCCATGATCCCACCTTGCGATATTCAAACCCAGGAACTACCATTCTCGCGCCAGAGCACTTAACCGATAGACCACTGAGCAGGCATTCGATGGTGTTAATGTCTAACCTCAACCAATCCACGAAATTGAGCAACCGTTCACCAATTTTCTTCAGTGAGTTGATATCTCACAACAGACCTGGTTGAAATCCTTTGGTCACAGCTTCATACTAGAACACCAGGAAATACCACAGCAACCAGTGGATTCAACCAGGTCTGTTTTGAGATATCAACTCACTGAAGAAAATTGGTGAATGGTTACTCAATTTCGTGGATTGGTTGAGGTTAGACATTAGCATCATCGAATGCCGGCTCAGTGGTCTATCGGTTAAGTGCTCCGGCGCGAGACTGGTAGGTTCTGGGTTCGAATCTCATGAGGCGGGACTGTGAGTGCGCACTACCACAGAGGAGTCTCACAATAGGATGAAACGGCCATCCAGTGCTTCCAGGTTTCCATGGTCGTCTAGCTTCAATGGACTCGTGATCTCAACTATATAAAAATTACTAAAAATCTCCACAAAACCCTCTTCTAAAAATTGTTTGTTTTTATTTGTAAATACCTTTTTCAATAACACATGATTAAATATTTCATTGTTTACACTATCATAATGATTGTTATTTTGTTTCTCTCTCTTTCTCTCTTTCTTGCAACCATCTATTCATCTAGGTTGTTAATGGTTATTGGGTTTTTGGAACAATGATCTGTGATGTATTCGTTATGTTCGATGTATTATTCTGTACTGCATCAATACTCAACTTAGTAGCTATTTGTTTGGACAGGTAAATTGACTGTTATCTTTTATTTCATTATCTTTAATATTTTTCTTACTTCAAATTTATTTACTTACAATCATTATAGGGTAAGTCATATGATTTTTTTTCACCGTCATTTCATCTGTGTTACATGTATGTGTTTTATCTTAAAGAGTGACTTCATGATAATTTTGTTTTAATTGTAAGGGTGAATATACATATTACATGTGTAACTCATATTGTGGTGTATGGTACTTACGTCGATAGACATGAATAGTATGTAACACTAATAGAACTATAAGCAAAGATGGATAGTGGCTAGCAGTGGAATCTAGTTGGACGCTTGTTTCATTCTATTTGGGACTAGTCAATTGGATGTACCTGCATCACAGAGTTGATGTTCACTTTGGGACTCGAACCCACTAAACCTTTCGTTTCAAACGCCATCGCGTTATCCACATATGCCAATAAGAGACTGATCAATTGCAGTTCTAAACATCAATGGAAGGATTCAAACAAACAATACCAAAGGAATCTAAGATAGTTATATTCAAAGGATAAACATAATAACTTCAAACTGTGAACATGATATTGTATAGTTACCAATTTTGTAATTCAGCTAATTAGTATTATAAACTGTCACTTATTTAATTTTTGACTTGGTACTTAATTGAAGACAATTCACAAGAGAGAAAAAAATGGTGAGACTGTGAACGAACCAATCAAATTTAAGATAATAGATCTTGGATTTTGACACGAAATTTATTCTCCCCGTGGGACTGAATACCATTTGGACGTTATAGTTGATATCAGTTCGTGATGAAACCGTTAAATCTAATTCCTGATCTAAATTCTAATTCTTCATACAGAGATTTAACCCTCACTTAACCTCAGTAAGTAGGTGAATAATTCAAGATCATTTGAACATTGCCAGAAGGTTGTCCATAAGTGATAGCCACTTGCTTGTGCAATGAGGTGAAGTTTGAACTCACTTGGTATTGTTTATAATGCTGATAATGCTTGTAAATTAAGGCTATATCAAGGCAATGCACACAGTATGCACATATGGCCAATAAGAGACTGATCAATTGCAGTCCTAAACATCAATGAGAAGATTCAAACAAACAATATCAAGTGAACTAATAGAACTGGATAACCTGGTATCAGAAGGCTATGAAGGTTGACATGAAGAAAACAAGAACCGAAATCGGAAGGAATTGTAAATCAGAAGAAGCATGCGTAATGTGAAAAACAAATGATGAAAATTTGCAAATGAAGTATTTAGCTTATGGTTATCTTATTTTACCAAGATATTCCAGTAAATTGTCTGTCCGCACCTAAGTTCTTATTCATTACAGTTTCACGATGATATTGTAAAGTAACTTTGAAAGAAAAAGATCGTTTTATAAAGAGTTTTTTTTAATTCAGATTACCAGTCTTAACAAAAACAACTTGCTAGCTATTATTATAAATTTAGTAAAAAACATTTGACTAAATGACAATATCAGTAAATTCAACTAAACAAACACACATATTTTACTTACATAATTACTTACGCCTGTTACCAATCATGGAGGTGCATACGCCACCCATCAGCATTCTCCATTCAACCCTATCCTGGACAATCCTTTCCAATTCTTTCCAGTTACCATTCATCTTTTTCATATCTCCTTCTATCTCCCGGCGTAGTATATTCTTTAACCTTCCTCTTTTCCGCATAAACACACATCCCAATAAATACTAATTTAGTTACAAGGGGTTTTGTGGAGATTTAATTTTTTTTTCAAATTTGAAATCATGAGTCGATTGAAGCTAGACCACCAACAAAAACCTGGAAGTACTGAACGGCCGTTTCATCCCATTATGGGACACGTTAGCAGTGAGCATTCACGATCCCGCACCCACGAGATTCGAACCCAGGACCTATCAGTCTCGAGCTAGAGCGCTTAACCGATAGATCACTGAGCCGGCATCCAACGGTGTTAATGTCTAACTTCAACCTATCCACGAAATTGAGCAACCATTCACTAATGTCATCAGTGAGTTGATATCTCCCAACAGACCTGGATGAACTCCACTGGTCACTGCTTCTCACTAGAACTCCAGGACATGTATCCGGTCGTCCAGTGCTTCCAGGTTTTTCATGGTGGTCTAGCTTCAATCGACTCATGATTTCAACTTTTAAAAAATACTAATTTAGTTGTTGACTATTTATTGTTGTTATTGTTCTTGTTGTTTTCTTATGTTGATTTCCCTATTTAATGCAAATCAAAAAAAAGAAAAAAAAGAACGAGGAATAAAAAAATTAAAAAAATGTTGTCATAATGATTATCTCAACTATTGATGTTTGTTTTTTTGTTTGTTTGTTTGTTTGTCTTTTTTCTCATTCCCCTTTTTTTAAAAAAAAAAAACTAAGTAATTGAGTAATAAATCAACATGTTTCTTTTCCTTTCTTTTGTTTGATTTTATATATTTAAGACAAAGTATAAATGAATCTGATGTAAACAATACGAGAAATTTTGATGATACAACATGTGGAAAAAGAAAAACGGGTAATCAAGAAAAAAAAACCCAGAAAAAACACTTGTTTACTAGTTTCTTTTTTAATATGATCGAAAATAAAAAAGAAATGACAATCACTATATATAGAGATACATATATAGATTGAATGAATGATCTAGTGAATGGAAAAAAAACAGTATTCGCTCGCTCGCTCGCTCGCTTGCTCACTCACACACCCACCTACCCACTCAATCATTTACTCAGCAACCCGACAAACACCCCTTCCCCATCCATAATATAAATTCAAATCTTTTTTTTTATTTTTATAAAGATAACAATTTTACAAATTATTCTAGATTTCTCTTTTTATCCATTAAAAACAAACCAAAACAAGAGGAAACATATTTAGATTTGTTTTTTTCTATTTTTATCTCATCACGAATAAAAAATTTTTGTGTTTTTCGCTGAACATTAAGAAGTTAGCTGGGGAAAAAAACAACAAACAGAAATGAATGGTAGTTTATACATGATATAAAAAGAAACAACAACAAATAAACAGTGAAATATATTTTAATTATGGAGATATGGAGATTTTCATAGTTGAACTCATGAGTCAATTGAAGCTAGATCACCATGAAAAACTTAGAAGCACTGGATGGCGTTTCGTCTTATTGTGGGACTCATCAGCAATGCGCATTCACGACCTCACCTCGCGAGATTCGAACTGAGGACCTACCAGTCTCGCGTGCGAGTATTTAACTGATAGACTATTTAGCCGGCCGTCCAGTGCTTCCAGTTTTTCCATGGTGGTTTAGCTTCAATTGACTCACGCTTTGAACTATGAAAATGCAAAATCTCTCACAAAAACCCCTTCTGATAATATGGAAATTTCATTGAGATCTAGAACTAATAAATGTTAGAGCATCATTGAAAAATTAGAAACATTGGATGCCCGTTTCGTTCTAGGATATATGTATATAAGTGTGTTTAAGAGGACTCATTCACATCAAGGTACACATACTCTCTCCACTTACATAGACGTGTATTCAAACAAGTACGTAAACCTTAGTTAGTGAAAATATGAAAGGTGAGCGTGATCTAAGGTCGTAGGTTTGGATCTTTGTGGAGAGGTTCTGAACGTTCACTGTTAGCGAGCTATATACTATGATAAAAAAGCTATCCAGCATCTCCTAATGTCCAACGGTTATCTAACTGAAATCAGTCTGTTACTTAATTAATTAGAATAATAATTTTTAACTAGCTTTATAATAACTTGTATCAGTTAGCTAATATGCTATCGTCATTTTCCAATAATAATAATAAAATGCATCAGGGTTAGAGTAGAAGGATCGACCGGATTCAGACTCATATTTAGTCTCTAAAGAGTGATACAATAAGCCAAACATGTTTTCCATGGCTAATAAAACCAGATTACTCCACTGTGGTAAACGAAGTGAGTAGCGATGTTTGGATTGGTAGATAGGCTTCAGTCGGTACCTATGTATGCTAATGGGTCCTATTCATAATTTCATTAGTGAGATAGCTAATGATGCCTGTGATTTTAATGAAAGTTTGTTCAAGGGTTTATTTACAGGTTAAGCAGGGTCTTTGTTTTTTGTTCAATAAAGGATGCTGCCTGTGTGGAAGCATGCAGCACACATTTCTAACGTGTAGAAATGTAAACCGAATACTACTTAGTTATATACGTTTACCAATCTACATACATTTGTTAGTAATGGAACTCATATCACTCGCTGACATTAGTTGGAGAATAACTGTTGTTTCAAATTAATCTGGGTCTACTCATCACATTGAAAGAATAGATTTATGTTCTACCACTGTATTAAATTGATCACAAGAACTATCTTAGACAATAAACTTTCAACCAATGTGAAATTTACTTTAAATTAAAGATACTAGCTAACTAAATGTTTATGACTTGAATTATTGCGTGAGTGATTTTATTTTCATTTGATAGTTACTACTTAATTTTATTCAGTAATCAGTATGATGTTCTTAAGCATTATTCTTAGTTGTTTATCTAATCATTGATAATATTAGACTTGGAAAAGATATATATATATATATATCTTCATTCAAGTTGTTGTATATTGTATCAGTTTAACAATACTGAGAGAGAAGGAAATAATAATGGTTAACTGACAATATAAGAAGATAATATTATAAGGTTAAACATTATGAAAGTTGAAAGCGTGAGTTAATTGAAGCTAGACCACCGTGGAAAACATGGAAACACTGGACGGCCGTTTTGTCCTATTATTTGAAGTAATGGTAGGACTAAACTATACTGCCGACCTTTGAACGAATCTTAAATGACCTTGAGAAATATTAGCCAATCAGAAGACAGTTAGTGTAGTCTACCTCTGAAACCATGATAAAGTCTCAAAAATTCTTTTAGCCTCGACCACATAGCTTCAATAATGTTAGTATATTGATATGGTTTACCGTTTAGGGTTAGAGTTAAGGTTTAGGTGTAGGGTTTAGGGTTATGGGTGAGACTATAA